GCAGGCAATGTCTTCCACAAAATGCCTAATAAAAAAAAGCGATGTCAATACAAAGTTAATGTTTAAGTTAACTTCATCCTTGTAGAGAACAAAAAGCATAAAAATAAATGTTATCTGTTTATTAATTATGTTATAGCTTCAATTGCATGAACAACTTTTACTTTATTAAACTGTTGTTGTACCTTAAATTGCTTTATTCATCATACCTACCTTTAAAACAATCTGTAGTTGCTACTATTTTTTTTTAATTTGCTGTAATTCTTGATAATTCATTATCTATTAATATACTTGATACTTCCTATTTTAGTTAAAACATACTAAATGATTAGCTTATTCAGAAAGAGATTCCAATAGCTATTAATGCAAAACTAAAGATTTGTTTCTGCCCCACTGTAGTGCCTGTTTTATTCATTTTTATACTTAAAATTAATTATATTATTTTAAGCAAAAAATTTAAACAAAATTAGATTAGTAAAAGTTTACATATTAAGCAGTGACGAACCCAGTGTTTATTTAGTGATATTATTTTTTCTTGGGTCACAGAAAGAAAAGGAGGGGGGGGGAGAATATTTGACAAGCACTGCAATCCTTATTTTTAATTTTTTTCTGTGTTAGCATTCACCTTGCTTAGTTTTACCCAAACCTTTAAAAAGTGTCTCTAAAAAACTATTTTATAGAAAACTATTATATTTACTATTATATTAAACTATTATATTTAAATAGTTAGAAAAGGTGGTTTTTAATATATATATATAGAAAAACAAAATCAATTGCCCATAAAATAAGTTACATTTACTAGACATTAAAATTGTTATAGTCATTCTTATTAAGGTAGAAAAAGTTATGAAAAGAAATAAGTAGTTTATATTATTATAAAGAAATAATATTAAAATATACATGCCACTTTAGTTGCCCATTCAAATTTAAAATATATATTTTGAAAATGTAACAATTATATAAACAATTTTAGGGGTTTTAGACATTTAATTAATTGAAATTTCAAATAAATATTTGAGTAAATATTTTTTAATCATTTTATCTTTGAAAGAAGTTGCATTATTTGCATTATTTTAATAATAACATTCAGTTAGTAATGATAGTTATAAACTAGTTATAGTATGTTATTATTTTTTAATCCATCATATTTTGTTGTGGAAAAAATAACCTAAAATCAACAGAAAATTGGTTTTGTACTACGTATTGCATTTGAATCAGAAGCTTTTTTTTAAATACATTTTGGTGTTAACAACAAGATCAAGATATGAGTTTATATTTGATAATAAAAGTTTTAAAATTACAATAGTATATATAATTTAAAGATATCTTGTTTATTACCTTTAAATGTACCAAAGTAAATAGAATTTTAGTCCTAAATTGTCCTATTTACATCTGAAAATTTGTACACATACACCAAGTATTTGTGTTGAAAGATACCATGAATCTTTATGTTCTACATGTACAAATGAAAAATTAGAAGCTGGTGCAGAAAAGTTTTAGTGTGTGTAACAGATATCATGAGTGGTTTAGTACTAATAAGAGATGCTCACCTTATACTTACATGTGAGTATTGAAGAATTTTATAGTTAAAAATACATTTAGTTTGAAAACAAAATGTGTTTTCATTTACATCATTTCACTAACCCATGTTAATACAATATTGTTGTTTTTATACAGCTTTTTACAAAAATTAAAATATGCATTCATGCATTAAAAGTTTTAGTATGAATATATTAGTTTTAAATATTCACTTTTTTAAAGTTTCAGATTTTTTTTAATAAATAAAAATCTTTAAATCCTCAAAGTAAGTTTACTGTATTTAAAATAATGAAAATAATAATAATTATGAAAGTATAAAATAATAAATAAAAAATAAGCTAACTGATAATCCAAAAAAAAAAAAAAAAAAACTTAAACATTGTTTTGTATGATGCTGAATTTTTTTTTTTGCGTCATCATCATCGTTTTGATAAAGTTAGCCTTTTTTTATAAGAAATATTTTAACAAAATAGTCTTTGGCTATACGGACTTGTTGCTTGCTTGCTAAATATGGTTTTCTTTCATAGATACTTTGACTGTAGAGTTTGTTTTCTTACTACTTTGTTTTCTTTCATTAATGTTATGACTGTATGAGCTGTGAGGATGGCACCATATCTTATTGAAACTGCCATTTGTTTCAATTAATCAGCATGTCTATTGTTGAAAACATGCAGTTGTATAGCAATTCTATATAGGTATGTTAGTTGATTTTGGTTTTATAAATTTTACACACACCTTATTCACTTAAATTAAATATCAACACCCCGACTTTCACCTTGTATCCTTGGTACCTGGCTGTCAAAATGGGTTTGCTAACATATATCATGACAAATATATTCCGGTACAAACCTGTGTTAACAATTTCCCGTTATTTCATTAATTTATTTTCATCAAAAAAATATTTAAAAGTACGGGTATGTTATCTAATTGTAAAATTCAAATCTATTTTGTAATTTAAATTAATAGAAATAATATTTCTAGCTATGAAAGTGTATAGAGAAATAATTATCAAAAAGTTTAAAAAAGTCATCATAAATATGGTTTATTGTACCATTGAACGCTTCCTGGAAACAGGTACTACCACTAACCATCCAAGATTGGGACGTAAACGTTTTTTAAGTACTCCAGCAGCCATCAAAGTAATAAGAAAACGAATTCGATGAAATTCTGCTTGATCTGCCAGGAAAGTAGCAAAAGATCTCGGAATAAACCGTGAAACAGTGTGAATTATTTTAAAAAAGGATTTGAAGTTAAAGCCTTTCAAAAAATGTAAAGTTCATGGAGTTTCCAAACCATCAAAACGTAAACGCGTCAAAAGAGCAAAAAACATTTGACCTGGTGCGGAGGTGATGAAATTATATTTTCTGATGAAAAACTTTTCGTTTTGCAAAAATCTTACAACTCCTAAAATGACAGAAACTGGTCTATTTCAATTGAGGACATCCCAGACGAAAAAAAACATGTTCCAAGATTTCAAAATGCAACCTCTGTAATGGTTTGGTGCGCAATCTATCCAAGAGGTAAATTGCCCTTGATTTTCATTGAAAAAGGTGCAAAAATTAACACAAAATACTATGTGGAAGAATTGATGGAGAAAAATGTGTTTCCGAACATTAAAAAAATTGTATGGAGGAGATTACTACTGCTTCCAACAAGATGGAGCCCCTTCTCATGCGGCTAACATTACTCAGGTTTGGTGCAAGGAAAATTTGACTGATTTTTTAACCAAAGAAAAATGGCCTCTAAGTTCACCAGACTGCAATCCACTTGATTATTTTGTATGGTCTTACATGTTAGCTAATCTTAACGATTATAAGTTTTCAAATTTGGAGCAATTTAAGAAAGTTATTAGCAAAATTTGGGACAAAATACCGTTGGAAACTGTGCATGCTGCATGCAATGATTTTGAATCTTTTGTGCATGCTGCATGCAATGATTTTTGTGCATGTTGTGCATGTTGCATGCAATGATTTTTCAATCTTCTGATTGAAGCTGGTCATCAAAGTTAAAGCAGATGTTATTCCAAAACATTTATTATAGTTTATTTAGTATTATGTCATCTTTTAAATTCTAAATAAAGTTTTTTGAAATATTGTTTTATATAAAAGATATACATATTTTTGTTTGTACCAAAATATATTTGTCATGGTGTATATTTTTTTAAAATAATATGTTTGTTGCTGTATTTGAAGAAAGACATTTTTTACAGTTTTCATTACATGTGTTGGTAATTTTATGATAACTTAACCTTCTTAGTTCTTCTAAAGTTTCTTACTTGATAAATGTTTTTGAACTTTATAGTTTTTTTTTAACCAGCAAGATCCTGAATGATGTTGGATACCACCTGTTGTTTTAAAATTTTTAATGTTCTTGCTATATCTCCGTTACAATGATTTATTTGGGACTAAAGTTATCATCATAGACAATTTCATGCTTTTATAGGAAATTGCTAAACTAACATATGTAATTGATAAAATATTTTTGAATAACAGTTGACTTGAAAAGAAAAAATGGAAATCAATAAAAAAGTCTGTTGACCTTTTTTTTATAACATTTTCTGGTATGTTTTTTGTATTTCCTTGAAAAGATTAAATTAATAAAAAAGTAAATAAAGTGAGCTTGTTATTGACATATGTAAAAAAGTAATTTTCCTGGCATTCAAAAAAATATTTATAAATAAGTTAGTGTTTATGGAAATATGGTTACTTTTTTATAATGTTTGAAAATAAAGGAACTAAATAGTTTATTGCATAGTAAAATATAATAGTTGATGAATGCATCACAACTCATTTTAAAGTATGTGCATATGTTTATTCTTCACATATATTTATGTTATGACAACTTTAATATGTGAAGATTTTTGAAAATTTTTTATTCTAATTAAAATAGCAGTAAAAATGTTGACAAACAGTTTAAAAAAAAATTGTTTTAAAGTTAAAGCATAGCAATAGTGTGTAACCATTGTGTAACAATGTGTAAATGTATGTAGTAAATTAATGTATGTAATAAATTAATTACAATTTTTATTTTATTATGTGTATTATTTATCATTATGCAACACATTCTATAAAAAAATTAAAAAAAGTAATATCTAAAAACAATGTAAGAAAAAAAAGTTTTTGCTTTAAATGGCTCAATGAATAAATAAACTCAATTTTTTATTTATTATTTTATTTTACAATTTTCTTTTTGTTTTACTTAAAGAAAACAATTGATTTTTAAAAAAACATTTGTCTTTTTATGTTAAAATAAATTTTAAATTTAACAACTTATTTTCACTATTTATTTATTGCTATTGCATATTATGGCACACAAACACACAAACAGATATATTCTGTTATGACACACACAAACACACATACAGATATACTCTGTTATTGCACAGACACACGCACACACACACAAACAGATAAACACTAGTCTACTTTTGCATAAATATAAAAATATATATTGATTTGATTTAGATTTAGCTTCAGCTGCTATTTGTAAAGGTTTATACGTAGGCAGTCAGTTTTGCTGGTTATTTCATGAAATTGTAAATCAAAACAAGGTTATTGATCCTGTGAGCAAAAGAGAAGCAACTTTGTACAATGTGAGAGATTTGTAAAGTTAAAAACTTATGCTGGATCTTTTTTGTTAAAATTTTTTATGGTTGTTAAATTTTTTTGCTTGTTTTTAGGGTGCTACTATTGGATCATCAATTGATCATCCTCACTATTTAAGTTTACAAAATGCTAACGAAGCTGAGTATCCATATGTAGATATGGGAGATTTTGCAGGTTTAAAAGCACTTTAAATGTTTATTTAACTTTTTTTTATCATTACCTTTTCGAACAGGTTGATATAACTTTTTGTTATTTGATAGTTTTTTTAAAAATAAATTTGATATAATATATGCATAATAGGGGTAAGAATTTTTTTTTAAGTGATGGCCTTATAACTATTGGTGGAGTTATTACCTAAAACTCACAAAAGCATAAAAGTAAACTTTGTAAATGCAAAAAACTCTCTGCGCAACTCCATTTTAAAGTATCATCAAAAGTTTGAAACTTTGCTTAAATAACTCATATTGTTTAACTATTATGTATTGTATATATTTAAATATAAACTGTATTTTAGATGTATAAGATATCAGAGAATAATTTAGCTGGACAAAATTGATCGCACTTCCGATATTTTATAGCCAAGAAATTGTATATAATATATGCGATTTGTATATATAATATTTGATTTATGTCCCACATAAATCAAAGTTTCAATTATAACATATGGAAAATTGATTTATGTAAGATAAAGCAGATATAAGAAAGATATCATTTCCTTTTAGAATTGGGTAATATTCCTAAATCAAGTGATATTATTAAAAAAATTTCAATTGAAGTTTATCAAATATATGGAATAAAATGACAATACTATGTTTTCCAGAGAAACCTGTGAAGAAAAGTAAGTTCTGCTAACCGTGTTTCACACGGTTAGTGTGAAAGTCTGCTATTGAAAATTATAAATTTGTTATTAAATCAACACAAAGTAAAAATAAAAGACAAGTATTATAAATACTTGAGATAAACTATTTGACTTATTGCCCAAAAATGCTAAATTTAAAAATCTGGAAAACAAACTCTTTTGTAAACTTCAGAAATCTTCCTATGGGTGCAAAGGTCAGTGCAGTATTGTGACAACAAATTATAGTCATTTGTAATAGTAGAAGTGATGGTTACACAATTCCATTGAAACATGCAAAGATCACTGGTAAAATGGTAGGTAAGATATCTGAAAATAAATGGTATCCAGTAAGTTGTACAGCAAAGATTGCAGAGGCTGTACTCAATGCAGTTGGTGATACATCAATTTGCAGATCTGCAGTCCAAAAAGCATCTACAACACTAGTGCATGAATTAAGCTTGATTCGGTCTTATATTAACTCTTCTGAAGAAATATGGTGCATTTTGATGGTAAGAGCATAGACAAACAACATTATTATAGCACATTTCAAGAAAGTTTAAATCTTTGGTTATATATTTAAAAAAATTAGAGAAAAGCAACTATTTATAACATTATACACAATATTATTTTGGAGTTTAATTTATTAAATAATATTTCCGTTGTAATAATATCTGAGACTGCAGTAAATACAAGTTCTAAAAATAAAGTAATAAAGCAATTGACAAAAATTGTTCCAGGTTTATTTTATCATTCTTGTTGACTTCATTTTCTCGATGTGATTCTTAAGCATTTTATGAACTCAAAGTTTGATTCCTTATCAACATTGTCTAATATTAATTACTGGTTCATTAATAAGTTAATTAGTAACTACGATGATTTAATTAGTAACTACCATGGTTTAATTGAAAAATACAAGCTTAATGAGCCAGTTATTAAAAGTAAAAAATATGTCAGGATTGATTATTAGGAGCTGAATTTTTGAGACACTGTAATAAACTTTGATCTACCTATAGGTATTGTAATAAAATAATTTAGTGTTTAAAATATATTTATTTCCATGATACAATTTTCAAAGACATATAACTAAAAATTTAAAACTCAACAAAAAGTCTTTACCTCTTCTTTTTAAAAAATCTTTACCCCAAGTTACATAGATTTTATGCGTAGTTAGTAAGCATAGAGGTTAGCCACGCTAAACAATTTGCAGGGCCTGAGAATTTTGGGCTGTTTTTCAAATTTAGGGGTTCTTTTCCAAATTAAAGAATTTTTTTTTTAGTAATACACCTAGCAATATGAGGTTTTTAAAATTTTAATGCCCTAATGACAGGTTGGGGGGTCTGAACCTCTAGCCATAACACTGTTCATAAGATATTTTCAGCCCTATGTGAGTTTGTTACTTTGTTTTATTTAACTAATATTTTAGTTTATAAAGGTCTTTTAAAAACAAGACTTTTCAATCTGTCGCAAAAATTTGTTTTTGAAAAATTTTATCATTTCAAAAAAACGAGTTTGTGCAGAGGGTATTTTAAATCTGTTACGGTTAAAATTATTTTTAAAATACTTTTTATACTATTTCTCCAACAGTAGTATTAGGGCAAATTGATTTTAAGAAAAAAATGTAACAAAATCTTACCCCTAATACATAAGTATTTTGTATTGCATATAAAGTATATTATATATAGTATAAAATGTACTATATATAGTATATGTGTAAATATTTTGTTAAATAGTTATTATTATTTGGTTAAAAATAAAATTTATGAGATGTAATAGTATTACGATTTAATAAGCATTAAAAATAAATTTATGTCATTTATATTTTTATTCAATGCAGTTAAAAAAACTTTTGTTATTTTTGGTAAAATATAAATTAATATATAATAAATAAATAACTGAAAATATTTATATGGTAAAAATCAACTTATACAAAGTGTTATAAACATAACTTTTAGGAACATGTGTTTCTGATCCCAATTTGTGCACCAATGGTTTAACTGTAATGTTTTGGTTAAAAATGACTCAAGATGATATTTCAAGAATGTTTGAAGCAAGCTATACTCATCAATATATTATATCAAGTGGCGGCCAAAAAAGTGATTCAAGGTAACAATGTCTTAAATACTGTTTTTACATGTATTATCAGTAATTTTTTAAAAATAGTATTAACATTAATTTCCACATAAACCTGTATTTTCATTATATTTTAAATAGTTTATGCTAACTATGCTTACATATTTTAGCTTATTTTAGCATTTTTTAGCATATTTTAACATATTTTAGTTTTTAAATTATTAGGAACTAAGTTTTAGCTTTTGATTGAAAACATGTTATTTAACAATAATGTCTAGGGGGTTTGCTTTTCTGTACCAACAAGATTCAAATTTTAATGGATTCAAACTTCAACTTCAAGCAAGTGATAGTGATTATGTGATTGAGATGAATAGCATTCCTAATGAATGGTTTCATGTTGCATTTACTTGGCATAAAGAAGGGGGTGAGATGACTTTTTTTCATTAAGTGTTTTGCTGTGCATTTATATGCAGCATAAATTGTTATATGTTATATAAATATTACATATATGTATATATTTATATTTATTTATTATAAACAATTAACTTAGAAATTTTATTGCCTGGGACTCGTGCTGGATTGATTTACTATCAGAATGGAATTCAGGTAGGACCATTAGGTACAGCTGTTGCAGGAAGTTATCCTTTTGATAAGCAGACTCGACTTACAATTGGTAAACCAAACTATGGAGATAAATTTTATGGGAGATTTTTGATGGATAGCTTCATTATATATTATCAAGTTCATCCTGTCAATGCTATTCTGAAATTTGCTACAAGTAAAACTATTTTACTTAGTAATTTATATATCTTAACAAAAAAAATTGTATTATACAATAATAAATAGTATTATAATGGAATATTAAACATAATACATTATAATAATTATTATAATTAAAAGATAAAGTTTAAATTCAGTTTTTTCTTTACTAAAAGTTTTTTTTCTTTATTTTTGATTTGCAATTTATATAGTTATAAATTTATATTTAAATGAAAAAAAAATATAGTTTAGAATTTGATCACCTTTCAAATTTGTTTATTTCAATGAATGTCATTGTTGGTATTAAAATTATATTAAAGAAATTTTAGCTTTTAACTAATTTTCGAAAAATTCAAAATAATTTTTTAAAAATTCAAAGTAATCTAGAAGTTTTGACAATAATCTTGAAGTTTTAAAGATGAATTTGAAAATGATCTTACATTTTTAAAAATGATCTTTAGATTTGAAAATTTTGAAAAACACACTTTTAAGACTTGAAAAAACTTTTGAAAATTTGAAAATGAAAATATTTGAAAACATTCATGGAAATTTGAAAGTTCATGAAAATGATTTTTTTGATGAGGAAATCTCGTGCTAATTATTAAAATTAGATTTTGTCCCAATAATTTATTATAATTTATAATATTCATATCATAGGTGCATCAATCAGTGTGACAGAAAGTTTGTCAGGAAGCATATCAGGGAGTGTATCAGGAAGTGTAACTGGAGTAATCAATGGAAATGGAGATGCAAGCTTATCTTTGAGTATGTATTTTTTTTTAGTTTAAAAAAAAATTAAAAATCTTAAGAAAAAATAAATAAAAACTACAAAGTAGCTAAATATTTTAAGTTTTAATGATTTATAAAAGATATCAAAATATCAGAAAAATTTTATTCTTTCTTTTAACCTATATATTGAAGCAAAATTTAGAAGAGTTGTTAATTGAATTTAGCATATCAAACAAGTGTAAAAATGTATGAATATGCACGATGGTTTTGGCCATTTAAATCAGTACGAATTTCTGATGCTGGACAATCGATATCTCCACTTCAACAGAGTGATTCAAATCATTATGCAGTTTTAGGGGTAAGTTTTATCATTGGGTGGGGTGGAGTTTAGTTTTGTATTTTGGGAACTGGTTTTTTGTAGTTATTTTTATATTTTGGTGGATTGGCTTCATTTGAGTTTCAGTGGTTAATATTTTTTTGGTGGTTGGAATCATTTTTTGTATTCAATATTTTAGAAACATTTATCATATTTAATTTTATTTTTTAGGGCTGAGCTAAACTTTATCTTTGTTTTTTTAGGGAGGAGCAAAATTGTATCTTAGTTCAGTGAGAGGACAAGTTTTGTGGTTAGAGAATTTCGGGGCTTTTGCAGTATTGGGAGATTTTGCTGGTAATTTAAATCTATTATTCTGCGGTTAAAAATATTAAAATATTAACTTTTATTTTGGTAATCATTGTTGCCCCAATAAAAAAATTGTGAACATTACATTTTGTCTTTTATCCCATCATAAAGTTCTACTTGTCTAATCATATTCGAACTACTTATGTTTGTATAAATTTTTGTGTTCTTTTTTTAGTATCAATTCTTATAAATTATTAACTTAATGTCATGAAAAATTACTAAATTTTCAAAAAATATCAAATTTTGAGATTTTTATACAGTTGAGAGTACTTAGTAAAATAAGAATTCCTTGAAAATTTTAGCCTCTAACTTCAAAAAGATCCTAAAATATGACCATTTTACTTTTACTAGATATTGACCAGGTCCCTCTTGTCCCTTAAGAATTGCAACATTTATTTAGAGGTTTACATAACTTTAAAAATATTTGATCTTTTTTACTTAAAAATTTGTACCTGGCTATTTCCAAGTATAAAGAATCAAAGTATAATAGGAAATATAAGTAATTATTATTAAGTACCTGTATTTATCAATTTAAATAAATTTAGATAATTTTTTATATACCTGGTTTTGAAACCCTTATGGCCTCAATGATATCAAAAAAAAAAAAATTTATACATCTATACATATTGATCTTTCAGATAACATAAGGATTTTGTTCTGCAAGTTTATAGATTACCATATATGGCAAGATCCCCACTTTTTTGTAGCAGAATATTACAATTGATTTTTCACTACTTTCCAGACAAAAAAATTTCAGAATTTTTTTCTAACTTTAACAAATTAAAGATAAATTTAAAAATATTGTCTTCAACAATTTTTTTGGTTTATATTTCATTCAGATTTTAATCATTCTATATTCAATGATCTTTTTAAAAACATTTTAAGAAAGTTCATATGTTTATAATAATTTTTATTTGCAAGTATACAGACTAAAAACATTCATCCATCTAAAATAATATTTTAACAGAGTTTTACATAACATTTATTTGTAAAATTCTAAACTTTTTGAATTGAAAAAAGTTAATACTTTTTAATGTTAAAATGTTAACAACAAGTTTTTTAGTTAACTAAAATCCAACTATAAAAAAAAACAAAAAACAACAACATCCCTACCATAAAGTTACATCAATGAAAAAGAAAATTATCACCTTTTAGAATCATTATTTTAACTGATATTTAATTCTAAAATGTTAACACCAAGTTATTACAGTTCCTAAAATTAGGAGCTATCATCAATTTAATCCAGAATCTATAAATATTATTAGCCTTAAACGAACAAGTGAAGATGTTAATATAACAGGCATTTTTTCTATTTATGGTATTTATAGTTCTTAAACTAATTAACAAACTAACATTGATACATTGAAATTTGGTGACTGTTCTGTGTAAATACTTTGTTGATGCGTTTCATTAGATTGGTACGATAAATTTTATTAATCGTATTGAAATCTTTTCATGATGGTGACAGAAAAAAGTTTGTCATCTGTTAAAGATATTATGGTTTGTGAACCTGCATGGCGTTTATAACAAATTTTTCTTAAGTTCGGATAGTAGTAAAAAATCTATTGCAAGATTTCATTAAAAAAATTGGGACACATGACCCAGCCCCCTTCTGGTGTCTGGTGTTTAATATGTGCATTTATCAGCGCTTCAGAAATGCCAAAAGTTTCAGAGCTCCAGCTAGTCTAGTAAGTAGAGAAAAATCAATTACAATATTCTGCTACAAAAAAGTGGGGCCCTTGTCCCGTTCCCCATATATAGAAATCTATAAACTTGAAGATAAAATGCTTATATTTTCTGAATGTAGAATTATGTGTAATTTTTTATTAGATATCATCAAGACAACGTAAGTATCTTGGGCATTAAAAACAGTTATATAAAAATTGTCTAAATTTATTTAAATTGATAAATACATGTAGTTAATATTTTTTTCATATATTTCTGATCATATTATTGGATTTGTCACCCCTGAAAATAGCCAGGTACAAATTTTAAAGTTAAAAGATCAAATTTTTTTAAATTTATGTGACTTAAAACCTCTAATGAAAACATTACAATTCTGAAATGAAAACATACCAATATCTGCTAAAAGTAAAATGGTCATATTTTAGCATCTTCTTGGAGCTAGAGGCTAAAAAACAATTCAGGAAACAATGTAGCACAGGTTTACATCTTTACTAGTCTAATAGATGAAGAATTTTTCTGCTAGTCCTTATAGTTTTTGCCTCATAGACCTTCTATGAGACAGTAGGTAAAACCTGCCAAAATGAGTGTTTTTTTTTTGATACATCATCATTAGTCTTTACTCAATAAAGAGCTCTATAACAAGGAATATTTTATGATAGAATTGACTTGTCTAAGTTAAATCAAGTTACAAGGACAAGATAATTATGTTCTCATTTTACTAATCGAATCCTATTAGGCAGCAAAACATGGGGTGGGTTGTATTGGATTACATGTTCCCAGTAGTTGGTAAATCTTAAGATTATACAATAATTCTAAAGCTTGGTTTCCATGGTTTCCAGTAGTTGTAGAGATGTTGTACAACAATAATGGGTTATAATGTAAACATTTTCTTGCGTAAGTTGCACAACCTAAAGTTGTGCAACTTATGATGCAACTATGTGCAACTTATGCAAGAAAAAACAGATAATCAATTATATAAACAAGTGTGTCAGGAGAATTTTATTGTATAAAAACATAACTCCAACAGCTGGAACTTAATTGAAACTAATGATTTAACATTATGAACATTAATAATAAGTTTCTTTGTTATTCAGGGTTAAGCTATTAAGAAAATTAAACCAATTTAGATTACTTTAAAAGAATTTGGATAGGGTCTGACCAAATAATTGAAGAACAAAGCAAAAGTATTTTATTTTATAAAATCTGACAAAGTAAAATATAGAGGATATTTTAAATGCTAATGTATGCACAGAAATGCTAATGTATGCACAGAAATGCTAATGTATGTACAGAAATGCAGAATGTGCTGAAATTAGTATTTTTGTTGAAAAATATATTCCTTTTGTAAAGTATTTTTTTAAAAGTATAAAATTTGTTGAAAAAATTAAAAAAATTGTTCATGCAATTTAAAAACTTTTTTTCCTTAAAAATTGCTTACAGTTTGCAGGGCTGACATAAGAATTGTAGAGCCAACATAAGGACTGTATAAGGATTTAAAAATCTTTTTTTTATAATTATTGAATCATACATGGTTTACTAAACCACGTATGATTCAAAAACTATAAATGATCCTATATTGAACTTCACTTAGTTTTTCATAAACTCTAAAATCTAACTAACTTGAAATATTCTGTCAAGTTAGAGATTTTTAGGAATTCGTAATCAAAATAAAGTTCAAAATATTTATGTATATATGCTTTTAAAAATTTTATATATGCTTTTTAAAATTTTAATCATTTTAACCTTATTTTTATATTGAGACAAGTGTAATTTTGTGTATTTAAATAAAGAAAGAACTTTTTATTTAAATAAATTAAAAATAAAATTTTGTTTTAAAAATAAAGAATTTTTTTTAACATGAATATTTTTGTTTAAAAAAATAGTTATTGCAATTTTTTTTTGAATTAATTTCCTTATTCATTTAATTCAGGTACTTGTGTTAGTGATCCAGAAAAATGTAGTCAACAAGCTGGAAGTGCCCCACTTGGTATGACCCCAGGATTAACAGTATCATTTTGGCTTAAAATTACAGCATCTGATCTTGCAGTTCCATTAAATGACCAGCAGCAACAACATCAGTACATCATTTCTAGTGGGGGGCAAGTGAGCAACTCGAGGGGTTTTTCATTTTTGTATGCAGCAGAGGAACAAAAATTTAAACTTCAGTTGCAAACAAGATATTATGTATACATGATTGAGTTTAGCAATTTACAAGAAACATGGTGTCATATTGCTTTTACATGGAAAAAAGAAGGTACTTAAAACATTACAGATAAGTATTTAGGTTAAAAGTAGTAGATAAGTAAGATAGATAAAAAGTAACAAATAGATAATGTAGGTAAAAAGTAACATATTACAAGATGTGTAATATGTAGCAGATAAGTAGGTAAGAAAAAACTTGCATAAGGTAGATAAAAATTAGAAGTTAATAAAATTTGTGAACTGGTAAAATTTTCATAATTATTATAATTTTTAACTTCAAAATATTGTTTTTTATTTCAGTGAAACATAAATTTTCTGTCAATTGACACATATAAATTTATTTTCCAGGTCAGCTTGTGCTTTACATAAATGGAGTAATAAAAGATGCGAGAGAAAAGCAAGAAAAAACATTTGAGTTAGATACACACACTAAATTGACAGTTGGTAAGCCAAATCACATTGATAAACATTTTGGAAGATTCAAAATGGATTTGCTTAGTATCTTTTATTATCAATTATCATCAACACAAATTGGTGAAATTGTGAACAATGCAGCTACAAGTAAGGGGTCTAAGTACTTATTTTATCATTAATGATGATATTAATTAGAATTTTACTTATTTAATTATTAATAATTTTTTATTTTATTATTATTATAGATTACTTTTGAAATAAAATTTTTCTTCTCATTATTCTTCACAAGACAAATAAAATGTTTTAAACAGATATATATTTGTAGATAAGTTGGACTATTTAATAGAAAGACTGTTCAATAGAATGACTCTAGTTACATATGACTTTAGAACAAACATAACATTTGTAAAAAAGTGAGTGTTGCAAACCTGCAGAAATGCAATAAAGATTCGAGACTAGCTGCAATAAGTTGCCTTAAATGATTTCTTTCTGCTTTCATTTTTCTAGCTTTGTTCAACAAGTTTTGTTAAATGATTTAAACATATATTTAAGTGAGTTAAAAAGGTTTGTATTTATTTCTTTTCAAACTTAAATCCTTATTCATCCTTTTATGTCACTATGGAGCTTTTACCTAATGATTATCTGGAATATGAAGCGTTTTCCCGGAACTGATTTTGTATATAAGTTTCTATTATAAAAAATGAGAAAATTTTCCTTTTGGTTCTCTTATGTTCTGGTAAAACTCGTTCTTGTGAAGCACACCATAATTTAAATCAGAAACACTTATAAATACCTAGCGAATAGCTTAAAGAAACAGAATCATGAACTCTAAGTTAAAAAAAATTAAAACATATGACAAATATGTTAAAATAGCGCGATATATGACACAGTATATGAGACTGAGAATGTGTGATACTAACAATGATGTGAAATGCTGAGAGTGGTATTTGACACAGAAAGTGATATTTTTGTGTAATATTCTTTTTAGCAAAACAAATTTTTTAATGAGAAAATTCAGTAAAGTGTTTTAAGCATTGAAGTTTTTGCATATTGCAATTTTAACATTAAGTTAACATTTATTACTTATGTTTGTTTATAGTAGTAATTTTTTAATTTTTGTATTGTTATAATTTATTAAAAGCTTTTTTAAATATTTTTTCTTGCAATATTATTTTTTACCAATAATTTATAATTTTTTTATTACTGTTTCATTTGTTAGAAGTAATTTTTTGTTATTTATTATTGTTACATTTGTTAGAAGTAAATTTTTATTATTTATTTCATTTTTTACTTATTTAACAATAATAAACCTTTTTTTTGTATGCTGATTTTCAAGCTAATCATCAAACTAACATCAAACTAACACATTTTATTAGATTTACTGCATTCACTTAATACATATCTATTGCAACCAATGAAGGCACCGTCTTTGCATTCACTTAATGCACCCACATTACTAAGTTTCCACAACTTTTATACTAATCCTTTTCCTACTTTTGTTACTAAAGTAACCGGACCATTTGCCACAGTATCCCCATCTCTTATTGATAGTGGAGAAATTAATCCAACTGTTCCTCGTGGTACTACTATTAAACCTGCTTCTCAGCCACCAACACCAACTTCTCCTACAGGTAAAATTTATATTTGATAATAATGTTGTATGTGTTTTTGTGGATAATAATGTTGTATGTGTTTTTTGTGTAAATGTTTTATATATATATATATATATATATATATATATATATATATATATATATATATATATATATATATATATATATATATATATATGTATATATATATATATATATATATATATATATATATATATATATATATATATATATATATATATATATATATATATATATATATATACATACATATATATAGTAAAAAAAACCATTATGCAAATTCATAAATTTAAAACAAAAATGATGTCATTGCAACATAACAGTTTTAGACTTGTTTAGTTTAATAATAAATGATCTACAATAGTGTTTCATCACTAAATTACCATTGTTACAATTTAAGACAGTCATGAGCAATTACAAGCCTTACTTCTTTCCCCTTAATGGTACGTCATGTTTAAGAACATGTACTCTACTTACATTTTAAATATAACTAAAAATTTTAAAATGATAACTTTATTTCAAAATAGCTTTATAATAGAAAAAATGCAATCTTACTATTAATTAAGCTATTGTATGAGACAATATACCTTTAAAAAATGAAGAATAGCGTAATAACTATAAATTAATCAAACTTTGTTACTAAAAAAAACTTTGGAAAAAATCCAAAAACCCACCCAAGAACCCAGTTGGGTTGGGTTTTTGCCAACCCTTTCAAAATTCTCAAAAGCAACCAAAATTTAGTTGATTTTGACAATTTTGGTATTCAATAGTATATGAGTAGCTGTATCTTGTGAATTCAAAATATCTTAAAAAGAATTTGTGTTGTCATAAAAAAGAATTTGTGTTGTTATAAAATCAAGTGTAACTATCATCAATCTACCTTATGTAAGTTATTGGCTCAGTATTAAAGCTTAAAGCTTGCTGGAAAGCTAAATTGTAGAAAGGCTTCTGACATAACAACCATAATGGACAAACCAATTATTTAAGATATGTATTTTTTCGTCCCATAAAAAATATCATTTACTTACACAAAGTTCAATAAGCTTGTGAATATCTACTAATGACATCTTAGTTTGTATATTGAAATTGTCTTTATCTTTGTTTAAAACATCAATTATAGCAATTGTTGCTTTATCTAGTAGAACAGGTAGATACAAATTAATAACATCAAATGAAACCTGAGTTTTGTTTTATTCGATAACCCATTCTTTAGTCTTAGATAAAAAATAAAAACAAATTAATCCTGCATTAATAATTAATTAAACCTTCAATTTAATCAAATATAGCAATAAGTATTTTTAATGTTTTCTTTCAAGAGCATACAACGTGTTTTGAAAACATTAAACATGTTTAGAACAGAATATTCAGAACAAAATTTCTTGTTAATAAAAAAGTTTCTTGTTAATGTATTATCCCAAAATGGACATGCATACAAACAATTTTCAGATATTGCCAAAAATAATAAACATAAAAATATGCATAAAAATACAAAATACCAGCCGGTAAAATGCTACTGTGGATACCAAAACTAAATATTATACTTAAAAGAAAGTTTCATAGAGTAGGTTTTCATTTTAATTTTATGAATTTGTATAATGGTTTTTTTTATTTTGATAATGCTTTAATGACAGAAAGAAGAGTGAAACTACTTGAAACAAAACCCTCAATCGATGTATGTACCAAAATCAATGTATGTGCCCTCACTGTGCTTATCTCTAAATAATTCAGTTGATAAATGAACCCTAGTTTATTTTTTAACAGTTTAGAAATAGTTTTTGGATTTGTTCTATTGATATAAGAACACAAACTGAAAATTAAAGATAATAAATAAACATAAAATATTTATCTTTCTATAAATAATTATATTTCTATAAAAGTGAGGAGAATAGGTTATTTTTAAAAGAATATTAAATCTAATTTCCTCAATTGATGGTTTTAACTTTTAAACAACAAAAAAAAAAAGATTAAATTTAATGTGCCTCAATTTATGGTTTCAACTTTTACACAACAAAAAAAAGAGTTTAATAGTGCAATAAAAAAGTTTCTTTTTTTTTATTCTTTTTACTATATCAAAATTTTTTTTACTATAAAAAAGGTTAAACCCATAAAATTAACCCATTTAAATATTTTATTTTGGTTTTAGGCAAAACAAGTGCAATTTGTACAGCAAAGCTTGATCTTGTGTTGCTCATCGACAATTCAGGTTCTATTGAAGCACGAGGTCGTGAAGGTTATTTTGAACAAATTAAAATGTTTATCAAAAATTTAATGAAGCTTTTCAGAGTAGGTACAGATGCTAATGTTGCTATTATTGAAGCTTCATCAGATGCTAGAATAATTGCTAAATTTGGAGATGTCAAAGATAAAGTTGTGTTTGACCAATATATAAACAATCTTAATTATAAGAAAGAGCGATCTTTTATTGGTAAGAATTAATTTTTTATGTGAGCTACAAATTTTTTTAGATATTTTATAATTATATTACTATAAATAATATTGCTATTTAGGTAAAGCATTGGAATTAGCAAGAACTGATGTATTTTCTAGAATTCTCTGTAAACAAAGTGCTAAGTTAATGATGGTGATAAGTGATGGTTATGCTTCAGATGATGTTACATTGTCAGGTGTTGAACTGCGAGACTTAGGAGTAATTATGATGGGCATTGGGTATGGCCCTGAAACACAACTAATGCGGTATACTCTTGAAAGTTTGTCTTCTGATCCTAAAGATCAATACACCTTTGTGTTTGGTTATGACCGACTTATTGAATCAGTACAACTTATTGTCAAAAAAGCATGTGAAGGTAAAGATTGTTTTTTTATAGATTTTTTATTTTTGGAGTGCATATAATTTTGTTACTTTTTTTTTTTTAGCTGCAACAGAGGCTTCATTAGTTGATACCACTGATCAAGTTAACAATAACCCAATTAAAGGCGGTGAGTTACTTTGCATTAAATTAAATTAAAAAAATTTGTAAATTATCCGGTATTTATGTTTTCAATATAAATTTTTTTAGCTGTTGGTCAGGAGTTTATTAATTACTTTATGACAGAAATTAATAAATATCGCCGTATGCATAGTGCAATACCATTAACTTGGTCTGTTGAACTTAGCATGAAGGCTCAACAGTGGGCTGAGTATCTTGCTAATGAGGACAAGTATGAATTTTTTTTTTAATTTTACTCGGTTTTGATTATTATTATTATTATTATTATTATTATTATTATTAGATTAACTTTCTTTTTTTAAAGATTTAAGGTTTTTTTTTTAGCTTAATTTTGGGTTTTTTGTTTTTAATTCAATGTTTAGACTTCTAACAAAACCAAAAGTTCACTATGGTCAAACTTTATATATTTCTCCAAAGCCTGGCCCGATATCTGCACAGATTGCTGTCCGTGCATGGTACAATCAAATAATCTATTATGATTTTCAAAAGCCAAGAATAAGTGAACTAAATAGTTATTTTGTGCAGTTGGTTTGGCGCTCAGCAACCGATGTGGGGGTTGGAAAGTATCAGTCAGCATCAGGAAAAACATATGTTGTTGCATTTTATAATCCAATTGGAAATAGTGATGATGGATTGAGTTTTAATATTCTTGCCATGACTAGTTAGTTGTTTTATTATAGTTCTTATAAAATAATAATGATGTCATGATTTTATCAATATTAAAATTCAATAATTTATCTAGTTCAACTAAATTATTATAAATAATTTTCTTTTATATTACTGATTAAAAATTTTAAAATTATTTCTTTTAAAATGCTATTTAGTTATAATTATTTAACTTCAGGTTCAGCAGTGACTGGTGTCAAATCAGGATATTGTCCTACTGGATACCAACCGAATTTAGAGTACTGCTATAAGCTATATTCTGAACCAGTGACATGGGAAGAGGCTGTAGCAACTTGCAGCGCTCAAAAGGGTGCGCTAACATCTATTACAAAAGATGAAGAACATTATTTTATATTTAATATTTTACATGCGCATACAGTTAAGTCTACCTGGCTTGGATTGAATGACAGGTTATTATTGATGTTAACATTTATATGAATGTTGTTGTTATATTTAGAATCTTAAGTTGATTTTTATCCCTTCTGGAACAAAATGTTCATCAAAATGTGAAGGCCCTAAAAAAGGAATTGACCAAAATATAGACGAAACTTAAAATAACATGTTGCAACGACATGTTGCAACGAACTTGTAAGCAACATCTGAACTTCTAAAGTTTAAATTTTATCAAAAGGTGGTCATTGATATGAAATTACATGTGCACAATATTGCACATAAAATCAGCTTTTTTGAGAGTTATCTTAGAGCTCAAGATACAATGCTTAAAAACCTTATGCTTAATGCTTAAAACTTATCTCTGCAATCACTGTTTCTGCTGACTTCAATAACACAACAGCACACAAAGTTGACTTCTTCTGACTTCAATAGAACAGCTAGAGCTACTTTTATATAAAAGATTTTGGCTTGAATAAATAAACCTTTTAATAAATTAATATCCTCAAGTTAATTTATCATCAATATGTATATTAATTTTTATTTTATTTTATATACTTTTCTTTATTGTAGGATGTTAGAAGGGTCGTTTACATGGGTGGATGGTGCTCCACTTTCTTTTAATGGTTGGACTAATCCACCAATAATTGGAAATCAGAAAAGTTGCGTGCAACTTACAACTGATGTAGGATGGCAAACTGAACAGTGTGATATACAAAATCCATTTATTTGTAAAACAATACGACCAGGTTTGTTGCATGTTGACTTATAATAACTTTTTGTTTAAAAAAATATATACAAATAACAACTGTATAAAAAATTATTACCTGAAAATTTTTTTTGAAATTTACGAATTATTTATTTAAAGGAGACCTCATTTTTATGGTAACAATACATTATCCAACACAAGCATGGAGCCAAGATCTTGTGTATGGAACTACACCAGCAGCTATTGAACTTATTCAACGTGTTGAAAGACTTGTAAAAATTCATTTTATATTACTACTTTTTGTTTTTATTTTTACAAAGTTGCATTTTGTTGACATAGTCGCATATTTTGTCAAATAGCTTCATACTTTAATCAAAGATATACATTTCTTGTATCTATATTCTTTTTTGAATCCATGTTTATATTAAATTTTCAGATCATGAGTATATATGGCTCTCGAGAGTGGTTTCTTAGTTATACCATCAAAGCATTTAGGTATTATTATTGTTGCGCTTATTTCCTTGTTCTTTATTTGTTTGATTCCATTACTCAAGATTTTTATATGATAGGGGTCATGTCAGTGTTTTTATTGACATGGAATTACGATTCTCCCCAGCTTCACCAATTGATCCTGTTGCTCCTTTAAAAAATGTCACCTATACTGAAGATTGCGATGGTTATATTTGTGATTTGACTGATGTCCAGATTGTTCCAGGTTTGTTTCTAGTTTTTTTTAGGTGAAAATTTAAATAAAATTTATTTATTTATTTTTATTTACAAAAATAAATATAAAAAATGTTTATTGAAATTCTTAAAATAATTTTTTTAGCAATTAATGTTACATACAATGGAACGTGTTCGGCAAATTGTTACACTAGTTGTACACCAAACTGCGCTCCAGCTTGCTGTTCACCACAAACTTTACCTACTTACTACACATATGAAGTTGTTCAAGTACCAGCTGGACAGCAAACTGCAGCACCACCACCACCTCCACCACCACCGCCACCTCCTCCTCCTCCACCACCAAGTAATAAATTTTTATAGTATTCAAAAGTGTAAATAAAAATAATTTTGTTTTATATAAGGGTTAAAACTTAGCGATTTGCATTATTTGATGTTCTACAACAAAATCGTGCATAAACTTAGTTTACAAATAAACTTAGTTAAAAACAAAACTTAGTTTATAAAGTAGTTTTATATCATATTTAAAGTTAGACAATCTTTAATTTATCAATTTTAACATTTTTACATAAACATCAAACGATTTTAAATCTTATTTAATATAGTTTGCTATAATAAAAAAAAGTAAAAGAAGAAATTTCTTATATGAAACATGATTTTAAATGGGTAATAATAATTGAAATATTGTTTTTGACACTCGTTATTTAAAAGATCGAAATAAGGTTATTACTTAAAACTTCTTCAAATATTTATGATAAATGTAGGAGGTAAAATAATGAATAACGACGTATTTTTTTTAATTTTAATTTATTTTAATTTGTTTTATTACTTTTAAAACGGTTTTCTAAATTAAGAAAATTTCAAAGAAGCTTTTACTTTTTAATTTCTAAAATTAAAATATTTTTTGTTGAATGTTTTAATTCTTTTAGAAAACTTAAATGAATTTTTTTTTCTTTGAATAGTAAGATTTTGTCTTTTATTAAAAGAATATTAATTTCAGTGTATTTTGTTTAGTTGTGTCGCCTGTTACTTCCGTTATTGTGACTTTCCCTTCGTATTGCGCCCAACAATGTCAACAGGTGTGTACCCCTGCATGTCCGCCAGAATGCTGTCAACAAAAACGTCGAAAAAGAATGGAAATTTTGCACAAAAGAAGTAAAATAAATCACAACCACCATCAAGGTTGATCCCAAAGATTGTTGATAAACAGTAAATCCAAAAATCCATAAAACCGGAAATTATTTTTAAATGTGAAAAATATATTAAAAACGGTTCTCGAATAGAGTATATCTAAGTATTTTTATTAGATTGAAATATAGATGATATTGGGAGGTAACCATCTAATTTTAAAAATCTGCTCCACGTACCAAAAGAAATCAATGAATGCCCAATGAACATATGTATCTAATAATTTGACATTCGTTTTTTGATTTTCGCATTTATGTATGGTGTGAAGAAAATGTTTTAATAGACCGTCCAAATTGTTTTTAAAGAAGTATTTATAGAAAATTAATATGTGATATAAATAAATAGTAAATAAACATTTTATAACAATATTTATTTAAGAAAAATAAAAAAACCTCAAATCTTGTTATTTATATGAGGGAAGTGGGGAAAACCTGTCTGGTTATCAATTTTAGATCTTATCCCTAATATGGAGTAGGTGGAGAAAGTCTGTTTATTAATTTTCAGCCAAGGAATTGATTTTTAAAGTTGTCTACCTAATATAACTGAATACTCTAGTAGTCAGATAAAACATAATCTAGTAGTCAGATAAAACATAATCTAGTAGTCAGATAAAACTTTTAGTAATCTAGTACAACTTGCAGCACGTTTTACTCTCATCATAACTGTCCCATGAAGTATAAATTTTTGTTGTTGTTACAAATATTTAAATCAATTTAATTTGATTTAAATTTATAAGAACAGTAACTCGTGTTCTAAAGGACTCGCATGCCTAAAAAATTAAACTTAAATATTAAAAAAAAATTCGTAAAATAAATATACTTGAAAGATTACGAAAATAAAAAAAATATTGCAATGACCATAGGCAACTGCCCACCCAACATTTCTGCACCGAGGGCAGAGGATATCTTCTGCCCCCCCCCCCTTCCAAGATGTCACTATCCGCGATTCAAAATAGCGATAATTTTATGCACTCCAAAGAGAAAAAACTTTTGCATTCAAAAGAATGCAAAAGTTCTTTTTTTTTTTTGAAAGAACTTTTGCATTCGATAAGAAAATATTTTAGCTAATCGATATTTATATTTAAGTTCCTGATGTTGATGTGTATTACCATGAACTTTCCTATGTTAGTTTGGAGTTCAGCTTTAAAAGTTTTAAAATATGTAGAGTCAAATACTTTTCTGTTATAAAAGAAAATATCACCCTGATATAAATCAGTCACAAAAAAAATATTTTCAGTTTTGAAAACGTCAAAACGCAACTTTTGAAAGTCTATTGTTTCAAAGTCATTATCCATGACAAAAAAGAGATTAAATTAAGAATTTTTCAATAAAATTTAATTAGTAAAAAAATCTCATTGTACAGAGTATAGAGTACAAACTCCATGAAAATGAAATCAAATTAAAAAAAGCAAAATTCGTTTTAATGTTTAATAAGCATTTAATATATTAAATTTAAATCATGGAACAGATGATTGTACTAAATAGTTGCATAGGTTAGCTAGCATACGCAGTGTGATCATTTTACGGCAGCATTCCATAATTGCAAGACTACTGAAAATATTTTTTTTAACAAATACTTAAAGGTGAAATGTACAGTCGTGTGCAGTAAAATAGTAGTGCGCATTTTATTTTTCTATCAACAAACGTTGAACATCAAAATTTATTTTTCTATTGTTTGTTGTTTATTGTTATTGTTCATAAATAATATGTTGTGATTATAATAGTAAAAAAAAATAATTTAAGAAAGATAATTGCAGCACTGTATGGTTTTAAATTTCAATATTATCGATTGAAGGACATTCGTATTTTTTTTTTAGACTGTGCAATAAAATAGTAGTGAAAAATTAATTTTTGTGTAATATTTGCTGTACTTATTAAATTCTAATTATTATTAGTTCTTAATAATAAGCAATAAGTAAGTAATTAATTTTGATATTAGATAAATTTATACACTTACTAAAATTTTGAAAATTTAGAGAAACATGGGGCGCTCTAAGCATTGTACTGAAGAAGTTCGTAATTTAATTATAAGTCTTAAAAATCATGGTAAAGCCTACAAACAAATATAAGAACCAGTTGGATGCTTACCAACAATCATTTGTAATGCTTTCAAATGGATACCCAAACCAAAAAAATGTGGAAATAAAAGATCAACTACCGTTATAGAAGATCGTCGAATTGTATCGTTAGTGAAAAAGGAGTCATTTATTACTTCTAGAAAAATTAAAAAAAGGCTAGAATTAAATGTTAATACCTCAACTATTCGACGACGATTAACACTTTTAATTTAAATGCAAGAACATTTAGAAAAGTGCCACTTTTGAGTAAAAGACATATTAAAAATCGTTTAAAATTTGTACGCGTGCATGCTTCTTGGCCTAAAGAAAAAATGGCGAAATGCTTTGTCGACTGATGAAAGCAAAGTTAAATTTTGGTTCCTATGTTCGTAAACAGTATGTTAGAAGACCAACGGATGCAGCATATAAGCCACAATTTACATTAAAAATCGTCAAACATAGAGGTTCAAAAATAATGATATGGGGTTGTTTTTCTTACAATAGTCTTGGGCCCATACATCGCATAGAAGGTATCATGGATCGGTTTGTATATGTTAAAATACTTGAAATATCAAATCGTGGTTTAATGAGAACAAAATCGATGTGATGGAGTGGCCAGCACAATCCCCCGACTTCAATCCGATTGAAAACTTGTAAATTGATGTTAAACAAGCAGTTGCTGAAAATAATCCAAGAGGTTGTAATCAATTGCGGGACGTAGTACAGTCAGCATGGCAAAATATATCTGTCGAACGATGTCAGAATCTTATTAATTCCATACAACGAAGATGCTCGGCGGTTATTACAAATAAAGGTAATGCCACAAAATACAAATGTTTTTTGTAATAAAATTTAATTATTTTTTGATATTTTCATAAAAAATGATTTTCACTACTATTTTATTGCACAGTTTAAAAAAAAAATACGAATGACCTTCAATCGAAAATATTGAAATTTAAAACCATACAGTGTTGCAATTATCTTTCTTTTATACTATTATAATCACAACATTTAGTTTATGAACAATAACAATAAAAAACAAACAATAGAAAAATATATTTTGATGTTCAAAGTTTGTTGATAAAAAAATAAAATACGCACTACTATTTTACTGCACACGACTGTATGTAATATCCATATCCAAATCCTTTTAGACACGGGCCAAACTGAAATTGGTGATTGTGCTTGTGAAACCGCTATCACAGTATGATTCTGACCCATCAACACAGTCATTTGTGTCTACCACATTCACTTTCTCTGTCAAGTTTGAGTAAAGCAAACCTGCTGTACCGGCAGTAACAGGTACTGCCCTGGTCCTTTATCCCTTTCAACCCCCTTCTACGTACAAACTCCCAACTAAGAAGTTTGCATCAGATCAGTATGAAAGGTCCTGTAAGAGTATTTGCAGGGCCGTAACGTGAAATTTTTAAGGGAAGGGGGTTGTTTTTGAAAAAAAAAGAGGCAGTTTTAAAACACCAAACCATTATCTTACTAAATTTACTTAATAAAATTTTTGTGAAACATGGCTATATTTGTGTAACCAATGTTTACATAAACGAATTTATTGTTGTCCAAATATTTTTTCTATTTTTCTACTGCATAGGCGTATAAGCACCTTGTAAAAAAATGGGTATCGATACATGAAATAATAATACTTTGATAAATGGTTTAAATTTTTATTCAAAAACTAAACTTTTTTCATACAATTTTCTAGGATGTAAAGTAAAAAATAATTTTGAGAATTTTATAATCAACAATTTCATTGTAGTGGATATTCACGATGGCTAATGAACCAAGTCTATCTGCAGTCATACTGGCTCTCAACCATGTTCTTAATCTTCGCATTGTAGTCAAAATTTGGGTGTTTTTTGTTGAAATAACTATTATTACAAAGATATTAACAATATAAAGTGGTTTTATACTTCATATTTATGTTACAATATATTGTAACATAAATATGAAGTATATGCTTATGGATTATGAGGATTATTCTATTGATGATTGGAATGGATTATCCATTATGCTCATGGATTATGAGGATTATTCTATTGATGATTGGAATGGATTATCCATTATGCTCATGGATTATGAGGATTATTCTATTGATGATTGGAATGGATTATCCATTAAACATGTTGTTCGCATTCAAGCCTTGTGGAAAGATGAACCATACGATGCATGTCTTCTGCAAGTTGTCCCGAATGATGATAATTGTCAACAAACTATAAATAGTTTGAGACATGCAGTTCAAATTAAAAAATTTGGTGCACAGAGATTGATGAAATACCTCAAGTTCAGGTATTTATAAAGACTTATTGGTCATTGTTTTTTTCATGAAAGTTTAGTAATAAATTTAGTTCATTTATAATTTGTTTAGAGTGCGACCTAATAAAAGAACAACTTTACAGCCATTAGAAAACATCACTAATGAAACTGACTCTGATGCCTCGATACCACTGTTTATTAAACCACTGAATGCTAAAATTAGCGAGCCGTTATCACCGCTTTGTTCTCCACCTTTAGTCCCAATGCATATATCACAAATCCTACCTCCTAACGTTTTAAATTTTTCTAAACCTTTGGAATGTAAAGTCTCAGCTTCTGCCTCAGTTGGTCCAAAAACAAAGCGAGCAAATAGTACTCGTGCAGTGCTTGGCAAGCTTAATGCTCTTTGCATGGAGGCAGGCATTGATTCTGACACAGTTCAAGCTGTTCGATATGGTCAGGTAGTCATTTTGCAAAAATTAGCACTTATTTCGCAACGACTGGACAGCTTGACAGATACAACAGCTAAAGTACCACCGTTATTTGAAGGTCACCGAAAAATTCCTTTGTTTTGTACAATTGATGATTTAGCAAATGTAGATACTGCTTTATCTGAAAATATATTTCAATAGATGCTATAAGAGGGTGGCCGTGATGCCAATGATCTTTGTGATCGTTTATTAAATCTTCTTTTATCTGTCGATTTGGCAAAACAGCTCAATCGAAGTGGTAAAAATGGAAAATTAAAACTTCCAGTTAAGTTAGAGCAATTTGTTAAGGACTGTGTATTAACTAAATATCCAAATGAAACTCGAAATCTTATAGAATTG